CCCCCCTGTACGAGGACCCGGAAGAGAAGTTCGCGCTGTCGCCTGGTGATTTCCTGATTGGGGCTCCGCTGATAGCAGTCCCGGAGCCAGACATTCAACATATTCCAAACAACCGACTGAAACAATGGCAATGGGTACGGCAGGTTCAACAAGTGTTTTGGCAGCGGTGGAGTGAGGAGTATCTGACCACTCTGCAGAGGCGCCACAAATGGCATCGGCGCACCACTAACATAAGGGTCAATGATATCGTACTCGTCAAGCATGAGAACTTGCCTCCGACTCACTGGCGCATGGGTCGCGTCGTGGCTGTACATCCTGGGGCTGACGGGGCGGTTCGCAATGTCACATTAAGAACTTCCGGCGGATGCATGACTCGAGCTGTTCAGAAGCTGTGCCTCTTACTGGAGCCTGAGGATTTCGAGTCAACCGACTCGACCGGGCAGGATGTTGAAGCTGTAACCTCTTAGTTAAGTTTATTTTCTGTCATTTCGTGATCGTCTGGCAATACTATTCTCGTTCTTGTCATTCATTTCTGTTTTGTGATTACATTTGTTTGTTTCGTTAAGAATCATTGTACGGTACTCTAAATTCCTGAAATTTTCTATAAAAGGCGACGAAAACTCTTTTTAGCTTCCATCTTGTGCACAGATAAGCGGATGAATAAAGCCTGTATTGGTAAATTGTCAACGCGTGTTTTAATCAGTAACAGCATCTATTTCATTTTCGGAAATGGCGTCAAACGTAGTTTTCTTTTTCACATTTTCTGTTCTTAAAAAGTTGTGCACACATACGCAAGATAATACAATCTGAATGGCTGCAGCTGGAGCGCGATGGATGGGTGAAAATAAAACTCGAAAACGGTTCGCAAGAATGCCAAAAGCATTTTCAACAACGCGCGTGTTCCTCTAAAGTATGTTGTTGTATTTAAGTTCGCTTGGTGATAGTCTTAGATGAGAGTAAGGTTTCATTAAGTAGTCTTTTAGAGCAAAGGCATCATCGGCTAAAAGCACAAAAGACGAGGGAGTTGACATGAAAGGGAGCGTGCATGGGGCTGGTATATGTACTTCATTTTTTTCAATAGCGTATTTCAGGTCCGAGTTCAACCAAATTCCAGCATCACCCACTCTCCCATTAACACCGTCATCAGCATAAATAAAACGATAGTGGGCATCAGCGATTGCCATCAATACAAATGAATGGTATCCTTTGTAATTGAAATACGTAGATCCCGCTTTCCTCACTGGCAGTATTCTGCAATGCTTTCCTGAGACGTTTCATCAGTTTGATTGAATTTAAAAGTGTTAATTGTTAGTTTACCATCTAAAGCGCCGATGCAGTTCGGGAATCCCCACATCTGATAAAAGTCTTTTGCAATATCACGCCAATCTTGCTCACTTGCAGGGAATTTCAAATACTCCTCCCTTAACGCCAAATATATTGCGGGAATTGATCCCTTTAAAATTCTGGAAATGGTTGACTGCTGAATTCGGAACGGCAATTGAAGTGACCTTTGGGTTTCACCTAATTTTGGAAATATGTACATACATATGTATGTCGGTACTAAAAATTACCAAGAAAATATTATATCTTACCAGTGGATAGATATCGCAATGTCAGCTGCAGCCGTTCCGCAGCTCCTATGCAGTTCCTGAATTTTGTATCCTGCTTGCTAATATAGGGGCGTACTTTTTCTAATAAGAATGCAAACTGAGCTGGAGTCATTCTTAAGATATTTTTGTGAAGGATTGAATCCTCGCACTCAATTTCCTTTAACAGTTTATGGCTAAATCCTATGAAAAGTATTTTTGATAATTACAAAAAACGAACTATATACATGTGTATATAATGTGGAATTCGAAACTTACCTTCCAGTTCTCTTTTTAAAAGCCATTGCGCAGAATATTTTTTTTTAGTCTTTTTCTTTTTCCTACGCTGTATTAAGGCAGCAGCGTTTAGCAAACAATTTGTTGCAATAGATAAAACTTGTATTTCCATTGTATGCTTAGAAAATCTCTCGTATGTCAAAATGCAAACAGCTGTGTAAAAAAGCTAACGAAATACAGCCATCTGTCAAAAAAACCTAACGAAATACAAGTTGGCCGGACTGTTTTTAACAACCTAGTTTGTTTTTCGTTAGTTTTTCGTTTGTTTTTTGGTATATAGCTTACTCGCTTACACAAGTACTGAAATTGTATGTGACCTTCTCTTTCTTTCAAAATACAGCGTAAAATACACTCGAAATACAAGAAAAAAACGTAGTATCATACGGGCATTAGATACCAGAAGCAACAAAACACATCTAAATGCATGGTGGAATTATGCCATCACCTAAATGTTGTTTAATGTTCTTTCCGTACGCTGGGAATCCCCCAGATTTTCTTCGTAAATGGTAGGCACCGCACCACGTTTTAAACGACGAAGTTTTGCAAAACCTAAGGCATTTACAAAACAAAATCAAATGCAGTTAATATGAAAATACACAATATGTTACCCATTTAGAACTGTGTATTATTTTCAATATCTTCACTAGTAAAGTGCTTCATGCACACATAGCTCGATTTGGTGTTTAATGCATCTCCTCGCCAGCAGAACTGCTTCCACTTTTTATAATATATACATATATATATACTTTTTTTAATATATATACAAATATTAAAATTATTTGGTTTTTTCGTATGCTCACAATCAACATTGCACCAAGATGACGTCACGCACACAGCTGATTCTGTCAAAATCACAAAGAGCGGATTAGCGGTACCGCGATTGGCGCAGTCTCTATTTCTCTCAATCGTGATACACACCTATTATTACACCATGATAGAGCTGTAAAAGTAACGAAAATTTGGATACCCGTATGTATTCGATACTAATCCAATCAACACCCGTATCTTTCGTTTCGTTACTTTACTCGTTACTTTTGATACAACCACTTGTACCTCACAAGAATCATCACAACAAATCTTGCAGCGTAAGGAAATGTTCGTTCGTACATATGCATACATGTGCATATAAACACATGTATACACGCAACATATTTTGTATCGATTCGAACAATTTGATACAATCAAGCACTTGTAAATACCTCACACGAATCATGCATGCATGTACGTACATATACACGCAACACATTTTAGTATCGATACGAAAAACAGTTTCGTTACCGCACAATTAGTCTGTTCCTTTTCCGACTAAAACCTGTGGAACTGTCAAACAACAATTTTACTCTCTCAAGTGAGAGTAAAAGGAGAACAGATGCAGAAGTGCACGGGAACGCAAAAAGCACTATTTCCTGTAAAAGCGTCAGTCGGTTTGTTTACATGCCATTTGGACAACAATGATTGGGCTGAAATATTACCAACTAATTATTAACATCTATACGTCTTCAAATATTTCGTTGTTTACTTCCATTTTTTTACAAATATAAGGTTCTTTGCTTACACCGCTTCCTTTTTTTGCTGGCACATGCAAATCAGCTGATCGTTTGACACTTTTCATGAACTTACAGGAAAAAAAGCTCCGAACTAAATCCTGTAACTTCTGACTAGGAACAGTTGCTCAGTTACTCTCTCAAAAGTGTTCCCACTTACAGGTTTTATGTCAATAGGAACGACTTCCTGTAAGTTCTGACTAAATCCTGTAAACCGGACTGCAATTGGAACAGACTAAATATGTTGTCTTGTATTCACAGTATATACAGTAGTAATGCGTTTTGAGTACTCCTCGGGGGGTAAAATCTGATCAGGGTTGATAATGAGAAGGAGCATGAATTTTGCTGATTCTGAGTTGCATATAAAATTAAGCCCAGAATCAGCTGTTTTTTAGAAAGTGTGGTGTCCAATGAAGCGACTCACAATACAGCAGTGGCCATATTCGCTACGTTTTCTTCTACTCAGGG